TCAGTTTCCTCCCTTTTTGTGGGGGGAGGGATGCTCAATTTCTTTAGATTTTAAATGGGGATATCTCCAAAGTTGTTGCAAAGATTACTTGAATTAATATAAGTATTTAGAACTGTGTATAGAACCTGGAAAACTCTGTAACATTACTAGTAGCTGTTGTTTTGTTTGTTGTTGCTGTTGTTGTTACTTAGGGAAAAAATTTATTTCCTTTTCATTATAAGAGTTGTAATGCTTTCTAAACAAGATTTATTTTATTTCATTTAAATGGTTAATTCAGCATGATATACTTTTAATTTTTCTGTATATAATTTATTGATTGTTAAAATTTGTGATTAATTTATAGCCAAGTCAGAGGAATTTTTTTATGCCTCTTAAAATGTTTTAATCAGATGACACTGAAAAACAATCTAAATAAAGATGTCTTAAATCGTTTTTCTTTGCTTTCAAGAGCCAAATGAGTAAAGTACTCAAAATTCAATGTTTTCCTTGGGTTAGAATATTTTTAAATACGTATTTAATTTTAAGAAAGAAGTTATTTTATTTATTTGTAAATATAGGAAAAGGCAGACACACCCACTGGTATGTAAGTACATTCAGGTGTATTAAGTGGCCTCCCTTACCCCCTCTAAAATGTACATACTGCCATCTGCTGGAGAGAACTTTTGTGCAACATTTAGATGGAAAAAAATTAGTGTCAGTTTTTGTTTGTTTTTTGATAAGTTAAACTATATCTTTCATTCAATTAAACACATTGAAAGTATGAGTCTTCACGTCTCTTTCAGGGAAAACTAAGATGAGGGTGGTTGTTTTTTTAGCTCTTTTCAGGTAGATTATGAAAATACGTCCACAAACCTTTAAAGCATTTTGCAAGGATAGGTGGAGGAGTGCTAAAGTACTTTATATTATGCGGAGGGCAGTTGTGTGGCATTTTTCTTGATCGAAACAACTGTGTAATGTAGGCAGAGCAAGTTCAATTATAATTTGCCAACTAGAAAATAGAGGATCAGAGAGGTTAAATGACTAACTGAGGTTACTCAATTTATCAGTGGCATAGCTGGGACCAAATCACAGGCCTTTGAATAGCTAATCCAAAGTGCTAATTATTTCTCCAACTCTTATCATATTCACTATGTCTCAGAGTATAAAAACATTGCATCCTATTACTGATAAGGCTTGGAAAGATGAAAAGCAGTCAAATAATTAAGTTCACTTTAAAAGTAAATAAGGTACAGGAAGCAGCAACTTTTTAAACCTGGAAAGGCACAATATTAAGTGGTATCCAGTACTTTGTACAATGCAGACACCTACTAGTTGTTGATTTGCCACACTGAAAGAATACTTTCTTCTATGTATACATATACTGCCTTATATGCTACCCATCAAGTTTAGGTCTACCCTGTGACAGTTTCATGAATGTGTGCTGACTCAGAATACTCCATAACTAATTTTGGTTCTATCAGAACCCTACTACCTAATTAGCTTAGTGTAACTTATAAATAAACAAAACAAAACATTGACTCTTGTTAAATAACATTTTTCTTTTGGCGAATGGTAAATTTTTAAAAGTGTCCCTTTATTCCATCATTTTATGTTACATAAATGTAATATTTCCATGAAATATATTTGTGTAATATTGCCATTGACAACATGAATTTTGTCCATTATAGTTTCTTGGCACTGTACTGATTTTAAAATTCACCAAATACAAAGGATCTACTAATTTAGGGGGGAATAGATGCACATCATACTAACTCATCTTTCACAAGTTGCTTGCCATTATTACCAACGTTTGTTAATTGTATGATCCTAGGATTTTCTGGTGTGGATTTTTCCTGTAACATTTAAAAGTTCGGTTGTCACTGCTATTCTGCAATGGCTGTAAGTTCCTCCCTCCCTTCCATCACCTCTGTTCCAGAAATTGATTCACTTTTTTAAACCTAGCTACTTTTCTTTAGTTTTCATTTGTGTTCTCCAATTTTTGTTCACACTTTAAAAAGTACTGGTAATGCATATTTTATAATGTATTTACTAACATTGCTTTCTTTTTTTTCTAACATTGCTTTCAACCTTTTCGTTTTTTACATTGAAAGTTACAAGGAGCTAAGTACGTGTTGAGTGAGGCCATGTTGCTAATTCAAAACAGATGCCTTACAGAAAGTCTCTGGAAATATCTGAGAGTCTTGCGATGGATTTTGTTGGCCTATAACATTAGAACTTCCTTATTAGGTAATTAATCCAGAAGAAGAGGGGACATTCGGTTTTCAATTAGGCAGTAGGAGGTGTGGAGCGAGATGAGAGAATCTGCCCATGACCAAAAAAGGTCTTAAGAAACCAGCATTTTGTCCAGCATTCAGTTTTTCCTTATATTTACCTCAAATCTACCCTGTAATAGTGTTAACTCATGGGTTTTTTTTTTCTATTTATTTTATAGATATACAGGATATATTGGACCCCTTTTCCATATGGCTGCTATTAAGTCTTCTCTCGGGTTTTCTTTTCTTCTTCCTATACTTGAATGTCACTCTCTTCCTCTCACTGAAATTTATTTGAGCAATTTGTTTGCATGAGTCAAATATTTTCATTCTTGCCTAACCCTGTGAGATAGTGTTCTCGTGTCCTTTTTAAATTTATGTTTTATTTTTGTTGTTGACAGTATTACAAATGTCTCCCACTTTGCCCACCTCCCCGCCCCACCCCAGGTCTTGTCCCTGCTGGTGTCCTTTTGATCAAAGCTCAGAAAGTTGAAGAACGCAAGCAATGAGGGGTTGAACCAAAATGTCAACTGGGACCATTAGTGTTTGGAGTCAGGCTCTTAGCCACTATGAATCCCCAGCCATTCTTTCTGTGACACATTCTCCAGGTTTCTTGCTCTTTGCTCTTCTTCAGGTACATTTGTTGGTTGTCACTACCTCTTGTATAACAACACAGACAAAAGGAGCTCAGTACTTCAGGGGTTCTCTGGCCTTCCGTAGGACAGCTTGGGGATGAGCTACCTACATGCACACCTGATAGCAGGTTTTCTTTTTCACTCCTTGGCTTATCTTGAACAGGTATTAAATCTGGTCTTACCATTCTGTGTGTGTGTGTGTGTGTGTGTGTGTGTGTGGTGTGTGTGTGTGTGTGTGTGTGTGTGTGTTTGTAAATGAATGTGCACATATGCATGCATTCTTCCACTTAAAAGGACGCTATATCTTTTTTTTTGTTAAACTGCATTTTGTCATCGTTAGTATATACTAGCTTTGTGAGATCTTTTTCCTCTGTTTTAGGTATTCTCTTTTTTTTTTCCCCAGGTACACATTCAGTAAGTATGCTTTTAGTTCACATTGAAGGTTTTGGTTTTTTAAGGTGTTCTATGCAGTCCCATTTGATTCTTGAAACATTTCATTTGAGATTTCTTGATCTATATCTTGGTGCCTGTGGCATTTCACAATTTTATGATTCATGAGTTTCTTTTTTTTTTAGAATGTTCTACCATTTTTGAGTTATATTTCTTTTTAAAACCTCTTTCTGTGAGATTTTTTAAATTTGTAACCTGTTTTTTTCTCTGTAGGTTTTTAATTTTCCATGCTTACTGTCCAAACCTCCTGGATCTCAAGTGGAACTGCAGTTGGTTTTCCATCCCCCTTTTAGTTATTACAACTAACTTTGTAATCTAGTTGGATAGCCTCACCTTTTCCCATTCCTGCTGGCATCTCTGAACTTATGAAGTGTTCCTCATCACACTAATTTGCACTAGATTCCACAGAAAATACAGAGACAGTCCACTTTGGATTCATATCTGCCAATAACTTTCCGTGTGTTTTTGTATGTCAGTTAATATCTACAGGCTTCATCTTCCTCATTTGTATAAAATTACCTTGGGCCCTGGCCCATTTGGCTCAGTGGATAGAGCGTTGGCCTGCGGACTGAAGGGTCCCGGGTTCGATTCCCATCAAGGGCATGTACCTTGGTTGCGGGCACATACCCAGTAGGGGGTGTGCAGGAGGCAGCTGATCCATGTTTCTCTCTCATGGATGTTTCTAACTCTCTATCCCTCTCCCTTCCTCTCTGTAAAAAATCAATAAAATATATATATTAAAAAAATAAAATTATCTTGGACTATGAACTCTGAAGTTGCTTAAATCCTAATATCTATGATTTTACAGTACACCCAATCACTTTTAGAAATTTCAATGTAACTTTAAATAGTAAATAAAAGCAGGTACTCAATTTTGCTTTTCTGAGCTCTATCCAGGCCTGACATGCACTCATCCGATATGCACTCACACAATCACATTAGTAATTCAAATATGGAAGAACTTCTATTTTGTTGGACTTCTAAATAATCATTGCCTAGTTGCCGCATTCCTCTGGGGGAGGGACATTGAGAGGCTCCCATCCCTGAACACTGGCTCTACTGCCATGGGCTCTCTCAACCAGACACACCACCCCAGCTGCCACAGCTCACAGAGGCTTCACCAGAGTCACCCTCTAGTGCAGGGGTTCTCAAACTACGGCCCGCGGGCCACATGCAAATACAAATATTGTATTTGTTCCCGTTTTGTTTTTTTACTTCAAAATAAGATATGTGCAGTGTGCATAGGAATTTGTTCATAGTTTTTTTTAAACTATAGTCCGGCCCTCCAACGGTCTGAGGGACAGTGAACTGGCCCCCTGTTTAAAAAGTTTGAGGACCCCTGCTCTAGTGGTTGCTTTTGGTAAATGTTTTATGTGGATTGTAGCACATGTTGACTAACTACAGTAGTTTAATGAGGCCCTTTTAAAGCATATTCTCTATGTTCATGATATTTCAGAATGTGCAAACTCAGTAATTCACATACTAACAATTATTCCAAAGCTAAAAGTGATCTCATCTCAGAGTTCAGTTTAAACTAGTACATTTTTTAAAAAGTGATTTGACTTCAGTACTTGTAATTACATGGCTGATCCCTTAATTATTACACATTTGACAAAGTCCTCTGTGTTCCCTCTCTTTTAGTAATTATCTGCTTTGTTTCTAGGTGAATGAAATTTACCATGATGAGTCCCTCGGAGTACATATAAATGTGGTCCTGGTGCGCATGATCATGCTGGGTTATGCAAAGGTAAGCTGTCTTAAAATATGTGAACGATAACGTTAAAGACGGGCTTAGCAAATAGAAGATTGAGTTGTTGAAGCTACAGCCAACGGATGGCATAGATAAGTCTTATGCAAACCTCAGTTGCGCTGAACTGATGAAGAAAAACAGCCACAGTGAATAGAGATCTCCAAATTTGAGCAGATAATGAATGATTTGTGTGCTGGTACCATTCCCTTGGTTTACCTCTGTAATAGAGTAGTAGATAGTTATCCTGACATCAAGCATAACAATATGGATGAAAAAAAAATGGATACCATTGTGAGGAAAGAGAATACCTTAGTCTTATCATTATTATAAAATTTATGATTCATCTTTTTCTTTCAAAACATATATTGAGTGAGTGTCAGATGTTTTCTAGGTGCTTCAGATATATCAGTGAAGAAAAATGACCAAGATCCTTCCCTCACATGATTTGTCTAAAAAAAGTAAAACACATAGTGAATATTTTAATTTAAAAGAGCTTTAGTCCTTTTGAAAATTAAAAGTTAGATCAAAATGCACATAATAGGCATTTCATGGGATATAACTAACTATAGTTGACTTTAAGATGGCACTAGATGTGTCCCTGTCCTTGGAAATAATGCAAAGGATGAAATGGTTTCTCCCTTTAGGGAGAAAATATAGGGAAAGTGATAACTTGGCAATTTTCTTGATGTTTAAAATTATATCCCCCTCCCATAATTAAATTCTTCTGATTATGAAATACTAATGAAATTATATAGTTAGCAAATAGAAAAAAAATCCACGTGCTTGCATTTCATCATGTATTTAACACCCACTTATCGTTTTCCAATAAGAGGGTGTCATTGATCTTTCATTTATCCCATAAACCGGACGGACTTTGCATTGATGACACTGAATCCAAGTCAACTCCAGTGGGAGATGTTAACAGCCTTCATTGGTTGTTACATTATTTTCTTGGAGAAGTTTGCGATCAGCATGTAACAAACCAAGCTAATTTTGTAAAGAATGTAAACACTGATAATAACATTTGCTGAAATATAATAAAACTCTCAGCCTGTCAGCCAAGCAGGGACTAATTAATTTGGGGTTGCAAGTTCAATTTCTCATTCCAGCAGAGCTACTCTGGGAAGTGTGGCTCCTGGTTCTTGAAGGATGGTCCCTTTCCCCCTGAACTTTTAACTCCTGACCATAATGTGACAGTAGCAACATTCCAAGGAACTCCAATCCATCTATTGGAACTACAAGATAAGTCTACACCCCTACCTCTCTTCATTGCTGTGAGCTTAAAAAGGAGAATTGTTTTTCACAGTGTGAGGTTTATAGAATTTGACTACTCCCCATTAACTAAGATTTAATCAGCTTTGCCAGCTCATTGAAGAACTTATATTCTCCCCATATGTTGATTAATTCTGGAGCCCCCACAAAAATCTTAACTAAAGATCTTTCACTTTAACAGCTCTGGATAAAAGTCTCATGCCAGAATCTTTCCTCTATTTTTATTTGTAATACCTGTGAAACTAAAAATCTAAGCTGAATTAGGAAATATTTAGATTACTAGAGTTCTTAACCCCATGACTAACATTGAGTTGACTCACAATAGCAAATCTCAGTATCGCATATTGCCATATATGGTGTCAGTCACCTTTCACACAGGTAATATTGGTTATCGTAAAGAGCTCCTTCATGGGCATTTAAAATTCCCAATCTAAAGTAGGTATCTAAATAGCTCCCAAATAATATTATCGAACATTTATTTAAATGCTATAATCCCAAATGTTAACTTCAGCTAAAGTTATTAAAAGAAGCCTTTGGGCAAATGTTATGTATGTCTTCAACATATTATTCCCTCTCAGTCCATCAGCCTCATAGAAAGGGGAAATCCATCCAGAAGCTTGGAGAATGTGTGTCGCTGGGCTTGCCAACAACAAAAATCTGATCCCAACCACTCTGAACACCATGATCATGCAATTTTCTTAACCAGGCAAGACTTTGGACCTGCTGGAATGCAAGGTATTTCCATTCAGATGTAGAAGAAAAACTCAAGGGCATGACTTTTCCAAAGTAATCTTAAATCAGGGAGTCTGTTCAAATGTTCATTTTATATCTCTCCCTCCATCTACTTTCCACCATGCATCAGCCAAGCATACATTTTCTTTCTATTGCTTCCAGTGACTCCTGTGGAATTCACCATATTAAATGCCACTTAGGTTCCATAATAAATTATACTTGCCTTTAACATAATGATTGTGCATTTGAGGTATGGAGGAGAGGCTGTAAAATGCAGTGTGATCTCCACTAAGCGTTGGAATGGGAAAAGAGATGCCATGAGAAGTGACTGCTGCCAGAGAGCTCTCTCCCGAAGTCAGCTTACATTGAGCTAATAAATTCTGGGGTAGGCTTTGGAAAAAGAAGACCGACGGTTTTCTTTTCAATGTTGATGGAATTTCTGGCTCCCTTCATTGGTACCATGATATGAAGGACCATTCACTAAAACAGAAAGACAACACTTAGTTGGTGGGCAGAACAGAATGGTAATCCCAGGCAGTTCCTTCCCTTAGAAAAGGAGAAAATGCAGACCCAGTGAATCTTTTCAAAGACCATTACCTGTCGCTTTCCCAAGAGAACGTGGCACAATGCTAGCGGGGAAATAATACTGCCTCTGTTTCCTAAAAAGCTTTTTTATATTTTTTTCTAGGCAAAGGTCCAGTAGTAATTCTTAATGGGTTTTCTCATAAAATGAAAATAAAAGTAATTGTTATTCTCTACAGGATATGCTCCAGTCACAGGCATGTGTCATCCAGTGAGAAGCTGTACCCTGAATCATGAGGATGGTTTTTCATCTGCTTTTGTAGTGGCCCATGAAACCGGCCATGTGTAAGTCACTGTTGACAGCTAGAAAGCCAGAAAAGGTCTTTTCTTGCCTGCTTTTCTCAGCATTGTTCGCACTGTGGGCAGAGGGCATGCCAGCATGCAACTCCCGTCCCTTGCCAAGTGTGAGGAGCTGAAACACTGAAGAGGTCATGCACTGAAACCAAATGAGCAACTCTAGCTGCAGACACCCTTGCACTTCTCATAGCTGTAAAATTAGAAAGGCATTTCTGTCCAGTTTTCTGTTCCACAATGCCTGCGACTCCTCCACAATAGCCATGTTCACTTAAAAAATACATATTTCCCTATACAGTAAGCCCTCAGTTAACATCGTCGATAGATTCTGCAACTTTAAGCAGCATGACTCATAATGAAACCAGTTTTACCATAGGCCAATTGACACAATCCAGAGTTACGTTTCTTCGGCATCTCATCAACATTATAAGGAAAGAACATCACACAGAATGACATAATTGAGGACCTACTGTATTTATTTTTAAAACAGAAAATAAGCAGAAGCCCTGGCCCCTGTGATTCTTACCAACGCGATCTCGCTTTGTGTTCTAGGCTGGGAATGGAGCATGATGGACAAGGCAATAGGTGCGGCGATGAGACTGCTATGGGAAGCGTCATGGCTCCGTTGGTGCAAGCGGCGTTTCATCGTTACCACTGGTCCCGCTGCAGTGGCCAAGAACTGAAAAGATACATCCAGTGCGTCCCTTTCTGCATGTCCTGAGAGCATTTATATTGTAGCAGAAATACAGACAGGAAACTGACTCTTAGGATCTTCTTCGTAATAAAACTCCCAGTGAATGAAAACTTGTTCACAGTAAACATTTTCTTATGACTCAGAGCTGTTGACACAATGATCCCATAATATGATCACGATATTTTAAGCCATAAGCCCGGAATTTAAGTGATATTTAACTATGATTTTTGTTTTTAGTAAATTCTTTATGGAATCTTTGACAAACGGTTAGATTTGAGTTGCGGATGAGGAGGAGATGGTCCTGTGATGCCTTCATAATACCACCTACATCCTGTAGCAAAGGTGTCAGAACCTGCTCTGCCACACTCTGCAGGAGCTCCAGGACACGAAAAAGGCTGTCGCGGTTATGCTGCATCCCTAAGTCGTGTTTGACTCCTTTTCCTGGGATGAATAAGGGTGAAGGGTCTTGTTTATGAACGGAACTAAAACCAAAAACCTTTAAAGATAAGCGTTTGTGGCCTTGCTCTGATCTAATGAAATTCCAGAGTATGTAACCCACGGATAGTTTTTTTCATTAGGACAAGATAAAAGAATGAACATTTAACTACATGCGATGTTTTCCTTCCTACAGTTCCTATGACTGTCTCCTTGATGACCCATTTGAACATGATTGGCCCAAACTCCCAGAACTTCCTGGAATCAATTACTCTATGGATGAGCAATGTCGTTTTGACTTTGGGGTTGGTTATAAAATGTGCACTGCGGTATGTTTCTCACAGTCAATTTAGATCTTGCATCTTGAATTCTATTTTGTGTAGCTCCTGTTTGTCGAGCTTTACAGACTCACTGGTGTGAGTATGAGAATTTCTTCCAAGGATTTTGTGTTTGCCATGTCACTACATATTAAAGCTGAGTACTTTAAATATACTGTCTTATTAATACTTGTGACAGACTAGCTGGAAGTTGGTATAATTATATTTTACAGATGAAAAAGCCAAGATTTACAGAGTATAAGCAACTTGCTTAAATCGCACATCTGGTAAACAGGGGAGCTGGATATTGAAAACAAGGTTGTCCAGCTCCAAACTTTATGCTCTGCTCTGTTGCGCCCTTGGGTTTTGTAACCTTCAGAGATGACATTTAAGCCTTAGGTAGGTTGCTTTTCATTAGCTTGTTGGCCAGGATTCCATGTAGCTGTGAGCACAGAGAAGGGCAATACTAGTTTATTCTGCGAGAATCACGTGGTAGAGCGTGGAGGTCAGGACTACGTTCTTCATAGTCAGACTGATGAGTCAAGAGGGCCTGGATCTGACACTAGATGTATGATTTTGAGCACCTTCTTTAATCTCTATTTAGTTTCCTCATGTGTAAAATATGGATAATCATAGTATTCATCTCATAGAATTTTCAGGGTTCAATTTCATAATATAACTAAAGTGCATGGCACAATGGCAGGCACATACTAGTCAATGCTCAGTGGAATCCAGTAGAGCCAGTCTTCCATGTAGCTGTTCAGATTAGAGGTATATGTCTTTAAATTTCCATGTTGAGGTGTAGTAGTTCATTATAAAAATTGCTTTTCCATATGTTGGAGCAAGCTTTATGTGTTATAGCAAACAAACAAACAAACAAAGAAAACACACGTATTTAATGGTACTGAAAGAAGTTGACCTGATGTTTCAAATCTTCCATATGCTGATAGCAACAGCCATTGGACTCTCTATAAACTATACATTGCCAGCTCCTAATCATCTGCATTAATGTTCTGACCTGAAAATTCTAAAGGTTAGGCTCAATATGGTGGGAATGTATAGTTTCCGAATTAAGTAATAAGGATTAGAAAAAAAAAAGCCAGGTCCAAAATGAGTACTAATCAAGAAAAAGCTCTGACCAATATAATTGGTGGTGTAGGCAATTATATATGAATAAATTGGTGTTTGATATTTTTTTAAAAATCTATCTGAAGAATGGTAAGGTGTTTATAGTTAGAAGGAGAACAGATAAGTAAAGAGCACACACAAATATGTATGCTGACGCATACATTTAGATACTATAAGGTGGTGTTTTGGGAAAATAAAAAACAGTCTTAAGATTGAGAAAACTAAGACTCCAGTTGGGCTATGTTACTGTCTCACTTGTAACCATAGCTATAGCCTTATCTTGTAACCCATATTTCTCAGCCATGGATTGTCATGAGACTCAAATACATGGAATGTATTTTATAAACTGCATGAATGTATTGTAATAGTTTGTTACACCTGGAATATGTTATCTTACATAGAAAATTTGACAAATATTTTCTGCTTTTAGTCAGCTCATTATAATGGACATTTTTATTATTTATATCTGACTTAATTCATACTTAGGGGTATCGAGAAGCTGTTTTGATAGCTTAAAAGCTAGAAAACCATTATAATAAGTTTTTATATTTAAAATTTTCATAATAATTACTATTTTAAATTCGAATATTGTCTACTTGAAAACCAGAAGATAGGGTTGGCATGTAGAAATACTGAGTCAACTAGAGACTCTCAGATAAATTGTTTATCACTATTATTTTAGAAAAGCAGAATAAAAATATTCCCTGCTAACTGTATTTAATTGTGATTTTGATTCTCTCTCTTTCAGTTCCGAACCTTTGACCCATGTAAACAGCTGTGGTGTAGCCATCCTGATAACCCCTACTTCTGTAAGACTAAAAAGGGACCCCCACTTGATGGGACTGAATGTGCTGCTGGAAAAGTGAGTCAATACTATGGAGATTTAATCACCTTTCAAAGTCTGAAAAATGATGAACATAGCTGTATTGTCATTTTTATGAGGACCATAGCACATGAGGTTTCATTATGGTAATGTACTAACATTATATAGTAGCTTCCAACGACCGCTCTAACAAATTACCATAAGCTCAGTGGCTTAAAATAACAGAAATGTATTTCCTCACAGTTTCACTGTGGGCAGGACCATCCTCTCTCCAGAAGCTATAATAGAGAGTCTGTTCTTGCCTCTTCCTCCAGTGGCTGCCCACATTCCCCGACTTGTGGCTGCACCATCCCAATTTCCAACTTCATGACCACATGACCACCTCGCTCCCTTCTCTTCTTCTGTGTGCAAATGTCCCTCTGCCCCTCTCTTATGAGGATGGATACACAGGATGACATTTAGGGCCCACCTGGATAATGCAGGATAGCCTCCCCTCAAAGTCCTTAATTTTATCACACCTTCAAAAGACTCTTTTCCAAATAAGGTAATATCTACAGATTCTAGGGCCTGAGATCTTTGGGACTATTCAACCCACTACTGATAGATTATGAAGCAGCAGCTCAGCAGACTATCTGGGACCCTGCTAATGGGATTTGATGTACTTGTTGGCTTCCCACTCCTTGTGAAACTTGTCCAGAAATAAAGTCCTGTGAATTTGTACAGAAGATTTGGCCTTGCTCCTTTGGGAAAAGATGCCCAGAGGTTTTAAATCTCAAATTGTGTAGTCAGGATTGAATGCTCAGAAATTGGCCAAGTGCCAAGCTACCCTACTCATAAGGGGAGAGATCACCCATTCCAAAACAAAGGCATCTTAAGAACTCAAGTTGAAGTGCCTTTACTAGTTTGGAAATAAGATATGGTAGACGGGACCAAAAGCTGGCAAAGAAGATTCATAAAGCTTTTAGTTCTTTTAATGCCCTTTAAAGCTCTATTGCAAATGTGTATAAACTGTACTTGCAATGAGGATTATAATAATAATAATAATAATAATAATAATAATAAACCTGCCATTATTCGTGTTTAAACTTTGTTCGGCACTATGCTAAACACATTACATATGGTGTGCTGCTGTGGGGAAATTTAGTATTACAAACTTTGACTAAAAAAACAAGAGCAACAGTGAGTTGATTCATTTTTGTTTTATGAAAAAGATATCCTCCAAATAAACTCCAAACATCCAACTTCTTGAAACTCACTTGTGTTATATTCAAATTTACCAGAGTTTAGTTTTAAGAAACACTTTTATTGTGGGATAAAAAAGCAAGTCAAAATGTTGGAAGGGGAAAGAACACCTTCTGAGCACGTGCTGTGTGCCGGGCACTGCCAGGTAGGTGCCTCCAAGCTATCAGGGTTATAGCAGTTCCCACATCGTTACTTACTGGTCAGATGGTCTCATATTACTCATGATCCTTTCCAGGTTCCAGTTTTCCACATTACCTACTGTGCAAATCAGGTATCATTTTTATTGGTCATGTTTGATACTCACCAATAAATGCATCATATACAACTTCTTCAGAATGAATTATTTTTTTCATTGCAATTTTATACTTAAGAACATACTAGTAAGTCTGAATTACTCTTTGTATCGGGAACCTTATTGTTATAACTAGTGGCCCAGTGCGGGGATTCGTGCACATTGAAAGGAAATTAATTAGAAGAAATATTTTAATATTGTTATTCACCCTTTATGATAGAAGTGTCAGAGATGAAAGAAAATTAGTAAAATGTATGTGAAAATAATATATAAATGATTAAAAATAAACAATAACAACATAATATAAGAACAACAAAGATGTGTTATAAAAAGAACAAAAACATGACATAAAAACAACAAAAACGTGATATAAGAACAACATTGATAAAAACAATGACTGATAAATTGATTAAACTTATTCTAACACTAAGGCCAGTGTCAGAAATGGGACAAATCAATTCTTGGAATCAGAACAACCTCTCCTCTGCAGATCCTGTTAGTACTTCAGCTTCAATTATGTTAGGTCACAATCTTTTGATAATAAATCTAGTACCATTACAAAGACCCCATTTACTATTAAGATTCTCAGTAGCATGATGATTGCACCTACTTTCAATTCTAATTTATGACATGGGATTCCCAAAGGAGTAACACTTTTGAGAAATTTGATGGGAAAATTTTCCTTTTTGGCATCATCCGTTGAATCTAGTATTATTGTCGATTATATTGTCATCTCTGAGTCTTAATGCAATATCCGTTCCCCAGCCTTTTTCACCATGTGGGAAAAGAATAGGATATATCATTGCATCTAATATAGAAAACAGGATATTGATTTGTTTCATTTGAGTTATTATTGGGATTCAGATTATTGGGATCTGGTTTACAATGAATAAGTCCCTTTCAAAAAGAGGTCCTCCATCTTCTTTTCTCAATATGACAGCAACTTCGGTTACACAGGGATAATTATATCCAGATCACTATTACAATCATATTTAATCGCCATTGTTACTTCCATGCACCACTTTCTTTCAGCTTCAGAATGTCAACAAAAACAACCAAATTCACGATCGACAATGACAGATCGAAACACACATGTGCAATTGGCGCCAGTGAGAGGTTTATATGTATCGCACATACTTGAATCAACTTAGCCTTTCATAAATGTAGAATAAACTTGCCTAATTAGACCTGCTTTCTGATGTAGCTAAACTTTTTCCAGACCAGTGAAGCACCCCAACTTCTTTTTCAGGTAATTGTCAGCAACACAGCAGTAAATATCAACACAAAGCAGATTATTATTGTAGATTACCCAGGAAGAACAAAGGGTAAAATATTTAACTGCAGCAGTGTTTGACTATATTCTGTGCAGTGAGAAAAACTGAAGTTATTTTCAAGGTCTACCATTTCTTAACTTCCTTTTTAGTTGGGTCAAATTTCTGAGCTTTCTAAATCTCTGTTTTCTGGCTAATGAAAAGAAAATAGGATTCCAGTGAGTCTCCTATCTACCAACTCCAGGATCAGATGAGATGAGGCACCTAAAAACGCTTCACAGACATTTGGTTAAACTGTGAAATGTTTGCACCTGGCTATAAAGCAAGTTGTGTTCCTGGGCTGAAGAAACTCCAAGGAGGCTAGTCACTAGGGAGAGGCAGCTGGGTGTTGCTATGTGATGTCATTACCCGGACACTTAGCATATTAGCCTTTTATATATAGAGATTGCTTTGGGGTCATTGTAAATACATTTCCACCTGGTGGGGGTTGGAGGAATGAAGCCCTTTCATTAGTGGTTCTTATATAACAACTTTAGCATATGCATGATTTTCACAATTGCCCTTTGTCATTTTCCTAAGTGGTGCTACAAGGGCCATTGCATGTGGAAGAATGCTAATCAACAAAAACAAGATGGCAATTGGGGGTCATGGACCAAATTTGGCTCCTGTTCCAGGACTTGTGGAACTGGTGTTCGTTTCAGAACACGCCAGTGCAACAATCCAATGTGAGTATGACCCCTGTAATTCTGTCACTTTTGTAAAGGCCAGAAAATGCTTCAATATAATGTTATTACTATTTCGTAAAGTACATGTAAAATACGGAGCATGAAAACTAAGGCTTTAAGTGTCTATTTTGGATAAATCTCCATTTATCAATTTTGTGAACTATAGTCAGTGGTTAAGATGAGAGGCTCGAATGAAGATGAGAGATTTTGAGGAAATTGCTGTTTGGGAATATTAAAGAGTTGAGTAGGGAAGCCCATCACTGTGCTCTGAGGGCCTGGGCACCAAGGCCATGAGACCCACTGTAAGAAGTGCAGGTGTGTCATGGTGGCAGTCGCACCAAACACATGCTTACTCACTTGGATTAGAAGGGGGATGCTTCAGGGCAGGGCAACAACAAAATAAAGATGGTAGAAGAAGGCCAAAGAACTGTTTGGGGAAAGTTATCAATTTATTCACTCAGACTAAATTGATTGAATTCCTATTGCGTACTGAAGAAAATTTATTTTCTAAGGGGAAAAATAACCAAAATATTAACCTTAGGACATTCTTCCTTGCCTAGGGCTTAAAATGTGAGCAGCCCTGTGTGTCTGGCAGCAGATGGCTCTGAACATGTCTTTTATAAACACTGAAGTTACATACATGTCTTCACAGGAAGAGATGATGGTAGTAGAAAAAAAAACAATAAAAATTACAGTAGTAAGAGCAGCTAAGTTTCACTATGAGCCACACTCAGTTCTAAGTGTTTCAAATATGTTCATGCATTCAATCCTCTCAATATTTCTCTAAGGAAGAAAAGACGGGAAACTGAGGCATAGAGCGGTGGTCACAGTCACTTTGGGCTGCATCTACATGTTTTATGCATGGTAGAAAATAAAAATTTTTCGAGTTCACATCTATGTTTTTATTTCTTTATAGATTTTTGCCATGCATTTAAAATACACTGTCTGAAAAGCCACTTGAAGTTGACTTTTGGGCCCCCTCCCTGCCCCCAGAGGGAGAGGATGGTGCTTTTGGAAAGGAATTGCAATTAGGAAGTATGAGTTCATTCACTTGGTGCTGGCAGCTCAGAAACTCTGGCTTTCTGCCCTCCCTAGAGCACTGTGTCTGCAAGCTTTCACTGCTGGACCAGAGCCAAAAGGCCTTTTTAAATGTTGTCTTTTCTTTAGGCCCATCAATGGTGGTCAGGATTGTCCGGGTGTTAATTTTGAGTACCAGCTTTGTAATACAGATGAATGCCCAAAGCACTTTGAAGACTTCAGAGCACAGCAGTGCCAGCAGCGTAACTCCCACTTTGAATACCAGAACAGCAAACACCACTGGATGCCCTATGAACATCCTGACTGTGAGTAGATGCCTGCCCTTTCCCCGCTGTGTGGTTGGTTACTTAGAGTTTATGCTTTGTCTACACCAATCCCTTGGACTCTTGATCCCTATGTGGTAACTTAGAAACCGTGGTGCTTACAGGGGTAAGTCCTTCTGGGTTTCCAAGAATAAGGTTAACGTCCTCCTTTCTCTAGAGAGGTGAGACTTGTGGAATAGTTCCTGGCAAGCAGCACTACCGCCATCACTACTGGAAAGACCAGTGGAATGCAGACAAAATGAAAAGCCTGAAGAGATGTTGAGTTTCCTCATTCAGTGGAAATCCCTCTACTAGGAAACACTTTTGGAATTTTGTTATCTGTCCTTTCTGAATAATTAGAGGGAAATACTGTTCTTTTACAGTGGGGTCAGGAGTAAGAAGAAGACCAGTATTTAATAACAACAGAAACTTCCTAACCTTTTTACTTTTGTACTATACACCGGTTTTTGAAAAATACACTTGGGAACTCCCTTTTAACGTTTCACTTCTTACCCTTGAATTTTCAGTTACTTTTGTGTTCAAATGGAAACTTCTCACCATATTTCTTACTTGGGTGAATATAAGAAAATAATTACTTGATTATCATGTGGTATAGGGCACTGCTGAGTTCAGGTGAAAAGCTGTTTTAAAAGAAAGATGCATCCATGTAGGAATTAAAAGTTGGAGTTAAGAAGAAATGCATTATTATTTTTTCAGTCTATTTTGGTGAAGTGAGTCACAGAAATTATATTAAATTTAATTGAGATTATACAAAGGCAAAAGGTGTACTAGGTCATTGGGTTAAATGAAAGAGAAACCCTTTCGGCGCTGTCAGCACCACTGAAAGCAAAGTGGTTCTGATTTAAAGCATTTGAAGAGCCGTGGTTAAATCCAGGATTGCTGCACAACCTAGTTTGCTGAGATAGTTCCAGTTTAGACCTGTTGTCCCTGTGTAGTTACTAATAGAGCCCTTTTTCACTCTCAAGAGTATCCCAGTTTAGATGTTAAATCATATGGTCACCCTGGTTGAAACAAATATGTTAAATATGTGTAATTTCTTCTTCTCTTTATTTTATTTATTTATACCTTTTTTTTTAATTTGTTTTCGGGAAATCATGTTGAAACTTTACATTTAAAAAATAAAATAAACTATACTGTTCAAATATACCACTTTACATAGTTGATTTAATCCTCTATCTCATGCAGCCAAGAAAAGATGCCACCTTTACTGTCAATCCAAAGAGACTGGCGATGTTGCCTACATGAAACAGCTGGTACACGATGGGACGCGCTGTTCCTACAAAGACCCGTACAGCATATGTGTGCGAGGAGAGTGTGTGGTGAGCTCCCTGCAATATACTGCAATTCTACTTTTACTGTCTTTCATCTGCATATTTTCAGAATGTTTAAACCACTTCATATCTGGGACATCACATTATGATGTAAATGTATGAATAGCTCATTAGCGAGACTAAGTCTGGGAGAAACTGCACTTAATAAAATCAAACTTTGCTCACTGGCCGAATCAAGACTTAACTGTAGTCGTCCCAGTTTCCAGCCAAATCCTTTTCCTTAGTCACTGATGTCTGTAGGTTGGGAATACAACATGGGAACAATGCCTTTGCTTTGAGTTTTTGACTAGTAGCGATCTGCTGTTAAAGTACACTTTTTTAAAAAAATTCAATGCTTAATGTACTTTATATTTTGTTTAAGAGATAATAGAAACTTTTATTGGAACAAAAATAGTGAAGATGCAAAAACTATTTTTTTTGGCCCTATTTAATCTCTTTTTAAAAGGAAGGTTTTTTTTCCGTACTTTATATTTTGTTTAAGAGATAATAGAAACTTTTCTTGGAACAAAAATAGCGAAGATGCAAAAACTATTTTTTGGCCCCATTTAATCTCTTTTATAAAGGCAGTTTTTTTCTTACTCATGTTCATATATCATGCTAAATTGATAGGGGACTATCATTATTAACTGAACACATGCTCCTGTTTGATTTCTTTTCACTTCAGAACAACTAGTGTTATATTAATGACTCTTACATGCACAGGTGCCTCATAGTTGATCTGAATTTTCCCTGAAAGTAAAATCTGTGTTTGGTCATCTTTTACCTCCCCCATGTCTCGCACATCAATGGATGTGTGATAATTATTTCTTCTGTCCACTTTCACCTCAAACTTACGAGTGCTGTGGCCTGCCACATACTCTTATCCTACACTGACTTACGTTAGGAGCTGCCCCAGCTCAGAAATTTTACCTTCAGTAATTCCCAGTTACGTTAATGTGAAAATGTAAACACTCAAGGCCTTGCACAGCCTGTGCTTTGCACCATCTTTCCTTTGGTGTAAATATGGCTAAATATTGTTCTCTGAACCCACTTTATGTGAACACACAATTTCCATGGCTCTGTTTGAATCCCTCCACATTCCTAAAATCGATTTCCACAAACTCGATTCCTTCAGGGACCTGTGAATGTCTCTACCACTTTGGTAAAGTTTTGTCTTCCATTCCTAGCCAACTTGTAAAGCTTGTACTAATGTACAACTCACAGTTTTATTATTCATTTTTATAAATATGAGAGCAACCAGGGAAACTCACTAACTTTTCGTCTCCTCAGCATCTACTACAACATTTGTGCTTAATACATTTTGATAATGATGTCGACTGTGTATGATGGTCATTAGACTGGGGGAAGTTTATCTGGAGTACTAGTCATTTGATTGCACAGTAGTTCTTTTAAAAGACTGAGGTATTTAAATCAGAGCCAGAAAGAAAGTTTGGTGCAAGCGGCTTAACTGTGGGATCCTGATTAAACAAAGTCATCATTCTCTAGGATACGGACCTTGACTTGACACATTAAAATTAGCCACATTTCACTTCTTCTCTCCCCAGAAAGTGGGCTGTGATAAAGAAATTGGTTCTAACAAGGTTGAGGATAAGTGTGGTGTCTGTGGAGGAGATAATTCTCATTGTCGAACTGTGAAGGGGACCTTTACCAGAACTCCCAGGAAGCTTGGTAAGATGAGGCCTCTGATGGATTTAGTATCCTTCTCTATGATTTGTATTTTTTGAGAATTCGTTTAAGAATGCAGCATTTTCTCTATAAACATAATAAAACATTAGCTGCTGATTTATTTTTATTCAGATAACCTTTTAAGGAAATATTTTAAAAAACTTTTCATGCTCCATAGCATTTATGATAAAAAATTATCTACTAAATTTTGATAAGGAACAAGTAAAATCACTATCAATTATAGTAGTTAGCTAAAATCTGTTTCGTTTTATTTTGCTTTTAATAAAATGCATTAGATCTAATAAAATTGATGCTTATTTTGAACTTTCTATTGTACATAAATTGTTAGAACGTAAAAAAATCACAAAACTTTAGATACGATTTAAAATATTACATTAGTTTTACTTCTTTTACTTTAAAAGTGAACAGGTTTTTCCTATTTTTAAGTCTATAAATCTAGGGTCCATATTTCATATATTTTTTATAATTTTATATTAAACAAAATTGAGGTACAAACAAAAATAACCTATGGTATAATTGCTTGTGCATGTGAACTTTTGTGCTCATTATATAATTAATGACCTGGTCTTAGGCATATGATATGGTAAATTTCAACAGGTGAAACAAAAACATAAAGAATATGAAAAGATATTAGGAGTCTCATAATTATCCATTGGAATTTTCATAAAAAAATTAGATGCAAACACTTATTACAAAAATTTTTTTTAGTTTATAACAAATATTTTGTTATTCAATAAGTATTTATTAGGCAAATATTTCTGATAATTTGACATTTAAAAATAAATTTGATGTGGTGCTTCCCTTGAGAAACTTCTCTTATATCATCCAAAATAACACAAAACGATTTGGTGTACTTTGAGCATATGTTGTGGTGGTAATTTAAGAGAAAAGAAATTATAAAAAAGTTGGTCTTCATCCAAATGAAATAATTCTCTTAGTTCTTTTTATTCTCATTATACATCAGCTACCCAACTCAAGTCAATTCCACACATCCCTGCTTTGCTCTGATATGCTGGGGGTGGCAGAGCTAGGTGACTTAACTCCAGTGTGTTTCCTTAGGCATTCTTTGCTGTAGTTATTGATGTCTTTGTTATTCCTGTGAGATAATTTACTATGTTTTGTACCTTGAACATTGTTAAAAAGCAAATATTGCCTTCTTGCTGATTATATTATTTTAATAAAGCAAACAGAATTAGAATGTTATATATAAAAATAAATAATGGGTTGGTGGAGTAAAATGTAATTTTCTCCATCTTACGAAGTGATTTACTGCAGTTATATATTATTATTTTAGGTGTAAAATAATTCATTTTGTTTTCTTTCCAGAGTGAATTAATGTAATGAAAATTTTTTAGACTCATTTATCCTATATATTGTGTTAATATGAGCTAGTGATACTTTTTTGCAGACACCTCAAAAATTATGCTAAACCTGTGAATCAAGGTCAGAAGAAAAGAAGAAAGCTTTCATCAGCCATACAGATTCAAACTGTTCAAAGATAATCTAACATCCACTTCTTTGCACTAAGTCTGTGGTAGTCATTCAATAGACTAATTAACCTTTTCCAACAGGGAAACATTTAAGCAAGCGGTGCCATACAGAATTCGAGTTGCTGGGAAATGAAATCTGCAAGTATTCACCTTCAAATCACCTATATCATTTTTCATTCATGCTCAGTCTTACTTTCATTGACTATTAACAGTTTATTGGCATTAGCTAACTATTGTATATGTGTTTTGACTTCAACATATAAAATTACAGAACATATTTTTAACTTACCTAATAATATATATACATATATATATAGCTTATCATATAGTCAATGAAACAGCAAGACTTTGATAAACACGAAACCTCCACTAATTAAAGACATTCTATTTAAGGGAAGACAAGAGGCGCCTTCACTTTACCCAAAGGAGCTCGTAATGTTTCTCTTGCTGAAACAAGGGAAGCTAAAAATGTACTGGGTAAGTTGTCGCACACTGCAGAAAGATGGGCATCCATAAATGGAATCAAGCTGTTTTGCTGTCCTTAGCTTCTTAAGCATGTTACTCGTAGCCATTGCACACTTAGGCAAACATGGTACTTTTCTTGTACTGGACTTTCCTTGGCTCAGGTGCTGAAACCCTGACCCCAAAATTACTATTCCATTAGTTAAACCACTAATGAATAATGTGAAAAGTTGGATCAATCTACCCATAGGTAGATGATAATTGTCCATATACAAATGGAAAACATATTTCTTTCCAAGTCCATCAGCAGTTGTGTATTTATAACTGAACTACAGGCTCGGTGCATGAAATTCATGCAAGGGCCTTGGCCCCAGCCTTGGCCACTGCGGCTTTGTCCAGAAGGAAGGAATTCAACATATAAAATTACAGAACATATTTTTAACTTACCTAATAATATATATACATATATATATAGCTTATCATATAGTCAATGAAACAGCAAGACTTTGATAAACACGAAACCTCCACTAATTAAAGACATTCTATTTAAGGGAAGACAAGAGGCGCCTTCACTTTACCCAAAGGAGCTCGTAATGTTTCTCTTGCTGAAACAAGGGAAGCTAAAAATGTACTGGGTAAGTTGTCGCACACTGCAGAAAGATGGGCATCCATAAATGGAATCAAGCTGTTTTGCTGTCCTTAGCTTCTTAAGCATGTTACTCGTAGCCATTGCACACTTAGGCAAACATGGTACTTTTCTTGTACTGGACTTTCCTTGGCTCAGGTGCTGAAACCCTGACCCCAAAATTACTATTCCATTAGTTAAACCACTAATGAATAATGTGAAAAGTTGGATCAATCTACCCATAGGTAGATGATAATTGTCCATATACAAATAGAAAACATATTTCTTTCCAAGTCCATCAGCAGTTGTGTATTTATAACTGAACTACAGGCTCGGTGCATGAAATTCATGCAAGGGCCTTGGCCCCAGCCCTCGGCCACTGCGGCTTTGTCCAGAAGGAAGGAAGTCCAGAAGGACATCTGGTTTAATTAGCATATTATGCTTTTATTATTATATATTTCTTTAGAATAAGGCAGGATTTTAAATATGAAGATAACTTACTAATTAGAAGTTTAGCGATCTGTACTCACTGCTTAGACTTTTGAAATAATATAGAGGTTGATAAAATATTTTCAGAAGTTCAACTAAATACTCTAAAAATTGGCCGCACTTCCAAAGAGTGGTTTACAAAACTAAAATCACAGTAGAGGGACACAGGAAAGTATAGAATTTGCCTGAATTGTTGACACAATTCACAGGTCAACACAAGATAAATGGCTAGTAGTTTAGAAACAAGATCAACTCTTTTCTTCCTCTTTAATTAAAAAAAGGGAGTGTAGCCCCTAATCTCATGCCAGATGTCACACAAGCTACCAGTGCTTTGAAGTTAATTTCTGAAACTGCTTCTTTCAGTTCATGTATGCCCTCTTCTGCGTGCAGGAACAGTGAGAACGGAATGCTCAGCTAACCAAGGTTGTCGCTTTTGTTTTCTCCTTTGCTTCCTACAAAATTTACCACACATGCAAAGGGTACCTTAAGATGTTTGATATACCCCCTGGTGCTAGACATGTGTTAATCCAAGAAGACGAGGCTTCTCCTCATATTCTTGGTAAGTGTTTCTGTCCACTGGCTCTGCTTTAACATGCATTTAAACATGGAACTGTCAAAGATATATCTATATCTATATATGTATATATATATCTATATAACCTATATATAGATATATATAGATATTTATGTCTATAGATGTATATATATATACATATATACATATATACACATATATATACACACACATATATACATACACATAGATATGCATGATTGAAGTTATATATAAATGCATTATTGTGTGATTTTGTTGGTCATTTCTCCCAACTACTCTTCCTTTAAAACAAGAAATATTAAAAAATGGAGATTTAATTTTTGTTGAACTTTGATTGGTTCATTATTTCATGAAGAAAGAAAAACCATCTGTCATATTTGTACATGTGCATTTTTGCTCTGCATTAGGAGATAAGAAAAAATAAATATGTTAAAATGCATTAAAGTAAGGAATAATATCAGAAAAATTTGCCGTATTTATTTTGACAAATTAGTTCTGATATTTTGGTTGATGCCATACTGTATGCCTCTCCTTAATTGTATTGCATTTTAAGTTTTTTGACTGAAAAGCAACCACATGTGAATTTTACTAGTCTAATAAAAATTTTCCCACCATCTGTTCTGTGTCCAGTTTCTGACTGGTACATGCAGATCCCTTTGCATGGCTGTTTGTAATTTCCTAAAGAAGATTCTTTTGAATAACTTGAAAGAGATACACAGTAATAAATAAACCATTATGTTATAATAAGCCATTATATGCTGAACTAACATACATGATTTATATTAATTATTATAGAAGTATCCATTATTTTCAAAGTATTTCCAGGTTTCTGAGGAAATGTCTAGGATTGAGTGAGTTTGAAACTGTTAACCTCTTTGACAGTGTTTTCAAATGGGAACATTTCCCAATTTTTATCTTCTGTGTAACCGTCTTGCTATTGTTTTTGACTAGTTAGAAATCCTTCTTGGGGATTTTAAATGCCTAATGAAGGAAAAGGGACTCAGAGCAGAACTAACACTCAATTTGACTTGTTTGATGCTAATAAACACAGTCTTTGACTTATAGAAGGGGGTAGATAGACTTAATAGGGATCATCAAAGCTGCAATCTGATAAAATAAAATGTCTGCTGGTTACTCATTTTCCTTCCTTTAGCTATTAAGAACCAGGCTACAGGCCACTATATTTTAAATGGCAAAGGGGAAGAAGCCAAGTCACGGACCTTCATTGATCTTGGTGTGGAATGGGATTATAATATTGAAGATGACATTGAAACTCTTCACACAGATGGACCTCTGCACGATCCTGTTATTGTTTTGGTATGTGGCATTACAGGCTCTCTATGTGTAGTTGATTTAGCTGTAATTTTCTTATTTATTTATCTGAAAGCACTTTTATCTTGAACATGGAATATTTAGTTGCTTGTTTTTTTTATAATTCCATTTATCTGCTTCTTTCCACTCTTTGACAACTTTGCCATATATTTTATTATATAATTATATGTACAGTATAAACCCAATAACACGGTATTATGATTTTTTGCTTGAGTAATCAAGACAAGAAAATATATATTTACCATTTCCAACATTCTTCATTTTTTCTTATAAGTCTGACTTTCCACCAGGTATCATTCACTTTCAATATAAAGAACTTCCCTTCACATTTCTTGTAGTGTGGGTATGTGTGCTGGCAAAGAATTCTCTCAACCTTCAGTTATCTGAAAATATCTTTATTTCACCCTTGTTCTTAAAGGATATGTTTACTAGATACAAACTTGTTGGTTGCTAGTTCGTCTTTCTCTTTCAGTGCTTTGAAGATGTTTTTACAATGTTGCAGGGAGTTCCAGGAATGTTAGGGCTGATCAAGGATATGACTATGAGGTGACAGTAACATACAAAAGCTTTACTGGTGACACCTTAGCAGGTTTGCCTGTAGGGCCACCATCCAATAGGGAAGAAAAGAAAGGGAACTTCCATGAGAGAAGAGAGTGGAGAGGGGCTTTATGTAGCTAGGTGATATCGCTCGGCAGCACAGGGGGAGCCTCTGGGTCTGAGTGCTCCCGGGGCAGCAGCAGCAGCTTGGGATCCTTATAGCCCCAGTTTCACGTATAGTTGGCAGATATTGGATACAGTTTCATATGGGTCTGCAAAGCAAGCTACCTCTAATGGCTAACAACAAGCTTGTTTGGGCTACATTTAAAACAACTGTATATAAAATTTTGGGTTTGCTGCTAGCAGGCTTTTAAGCTAAAGAGGCTCAGCCTGTGGTGAAGGACTAGACAACCTCAGGGCCAATAGACAGGGGCCATCTTTGACTCATTCATGTAGTGTCTGTCTTCTAGAATCCATAATTTCTGATAAGAAGTAGCCTCATTTATATTGCTGCTCTATACACAAAGTGTCCATTTTCTCAGGCTACTTTTTAAGATTTTTTTCTTTGTCATTTTGCTTTGTTTAATAGTTTGTTTATGCTTAGTTTGTGACCTTTTTTGTATGTATCAGGCTTGGGATTCACCAAGCATCTTGGCTCTGAAAGTTGAAGTTTTTCACCAATTTTGGATTAGTTTACCATTATGTGTTCAAGTTTGTTTGCCCCCCCCCCCACCCGCCTAGTCATTTCTCTACTCCTAGGACTCATTTACATGTATGTTAAACCAGTTGAAATTATTCCAGAAGTCTCTCAGGCTTTGGTTATGCTGTATGATCTTTTATTCTCTGTTCTTCAGATTGGAGAGTTTCTGTTGAGCTGTGTTCAGGCTCACTGACTGTGTCTTATGTGGTCTCCAATCTGTTGTTGAGTTCATCCAGTAAATTTTTCATGTCAGATGCTGGTGTGCTTTTCTTTTCTAGAATTTCCATTTTCTCCCCCGGAGTCATTTCTGCTTCTCTGCTGAGATTTCTGTATATTTCCACTCATTTTGTCTAATTTTTCCTTTAAGTCCTGCATCTTCACGTTGTCTGCTTCTATGGACTGATTTTTTTAATGAGTCATTTTCCTGCTTCAACAGTCTTTTTTATTATACCCTGGACATGATAGATGGTGAGTTGTAGGGCCTTTGGTTTATGTCACCTTCCTTATAGGAGTTGGGTTTATCATAGCTGACAGACAGTCAGTTCCCTCTGATCCTAGGGCCCTGGTTTATTCTTCATTACAGCTGAGCTTTTTCATTTTGTCCTTGTTTTTATGACTTGGCAGTTTGGGCGCATTAACTCAACACCTGGGGGTTGATGAGGCCTCTTGACCCTGGCTGGATAAGAACTCCCAGGTCTCTCAGCCCCGTCTGACTCTCAGCACCTCTGTCCTGTTCCCAGGCCCGCAGCAGCCACTCACTAGTAGGTGGTGTGGTGTCTTGGCCCCGGGCATGCACAGACCAGCCCTCCGCCTGGGACTCATGCATCCTCTGGGCCACCCCTCCATGCAGCCCCCTGTTCTTTAGTGCTCTGCCCTGTGAGTTCCATAGTCTGCACTCTGTCCCCTCAGCTCAGTGAGAATGCGGTCTTGGCTGGAGTTCAGCAACCTGTGCCAGGGGCCAGACCTGGCTCTATCAGGAAGCCAGGACCTGGCACTTTTCTCTTCTCACAGGGATCATTGTCCTTTGCTATTATTCACTGTCTCCCCCCACAAATTTCCCTCCTATAATTCTGTCCAGTTTTATTGCTTTTAATGTCAGGAAGGTACCTCTATTACTCCCACATGGATGAAAGCAGAAGGCATCTACTTGATTGGAAAAAAAGTGTTGCATTCTGTGTACAAATATTTATTAGACTCTCTATAACAAATATTGCACTAATCTAAAACCAAATCTTCCCACTCAATCCCAAGGGTTTGTTTTTCCTTTGAAAATTATTTCCCTTTGGTAAAGTGCCTGTTCAAATCGTTTGCCTATTGCTAAAGTAGTTATTTTTTGTTGAGTTTTAAGAGTTGTTTATATATACTTGATATAATAAGTCCTCTGTAAAATAAGTGATTTGCCAAATATTTCTTCTAGTCTATAATTTTTTTCCTTTCTCTTAGTCTCTCACAGAGCAAAATATTATATTTTAACTTTGCTAAAATCTTGTTTCTTTTATGGATCAAGATTTTGGTGTTAGTTGGGTTTTAACAGTTGTTGTTTGTTTTGTTTTGTTTTGTTTTGTTTTTTGCCTAATCCAAGGTCAAAATGTTTTCTCTTTTTTGCTAACAGTTCTGTAGTTTTACATTTCACATTTAGGTTTATGAACCATTTTTAGTTAATTTTTACATAAATTTTGTGTGATATGTTAGATTCTTACTTTGCATACAGATGTTTATATTATCTATTGCCCCATAACAAATTAACCCCAATTTTCTGGCTAAATGCAAAGCAACATTCCTTGTCTCCTAGTTTCTGTGGATCAGGTATCTGGGAGCAGATGAAATGGCTAGTTCTGGCTCAGGGTATCTCATGAGGTTGCTGTCAGCGGTGGCGAAGCACCTCGAGGCTTACCAGCTCAGTCAATGGCTGTTGGGAGGCCTCAGAAGGTTACTCCTAAGCTATTCCTGTGGGGACTGGTGGGCCTGGGATGTTCACCATTTAAGCCTATCCATAGGCTGCTTATGGGAGGTGTCCTCATCCCATGGCAGCTGGCTTCCACTAGAACAAGTGGTTCAGGTGACAAAGAAAGTGAAAGAGTACGACCAAGACAGAATCGGTCTTTTCTAACCTCATCTTGGAAGTGATATCCCCTCTTGTCTGCTGTTGTTTGTTTGTCAGAAGCAAGTCAGTGAGTCCAGCCCACATGGGAGGGGTGAGGATTTAAGCTGCATGTATGGAGAGGGAAAGTACAAAGCATCTGTGGACAGCATTTGAAGTCACCACAATGTCCAGTTGTTCCAGCACCATTTGTTCAAACAACAAAAAACAAACCAGAAACTGTTTTTTAATTACATTGTCTTTCACCTACATCAAAAATTAATTGTCCAAATGTATGTGGGTTTATTTTTGGACTATCATTCTGTTCCATGGGTTAGATGATTTTATAGCAAGATATATAATATTCAAAATCTTGTTAAGTTTGAATGATTGGAGATCAGAGCTCTATTTCACTTTTATGTAACTACACTGCATTCTTTTCCAGCCACACAGGTATCTTGTCTCAGATCCCTGCCATTTTACCTCCACGGTGGGTGGCCTCAAGGCTTTGCTCACTGATAGTAATGTGGACATAGGGATCAATGTGGGCTGGAGAGATAGGAGACCTATAGCTAGCCTAGAGGTTTGTGGACAAGCAGTGCTCTATCATCATGATCTTTCTTTCCTTCCCTAAAAGACTGGAACCCCAGCAAGGGAGCCCCGAAACATGGGGGCTAGGTTGTCTGGGACTGAAAGCATTAGACATCTGGCTAGAGTGTAAGGGCCAGGGCATAGTTTTTAATGCTTTTTTAAAAACAAAGACTAGAAGGGGAAAAGAGAATAGAACTCAGATAACCCCAGCTTTCTAGCGATTTAGCATCCCTCGATTTCTCAAACAAAAGGTGTTTCTAAAAGTTTAGTTTAAAATACCAATGAATTATGAGTGGATAATAAAGCTGTGGTACCTTTACACAATGGAATAGTACTCAGCCTTAAAAAAAGAAGGAATTCTTACCTTTTGTGACAGCATGGATGAACCTGGAGAACATTATGCTAGTTGAAATAAGCCAGCCAGAGAAAGAGAAATATCACATGATCTCACTTATATGTGGAATCTACTGAACAAAATGAACAAGAAAAATAGAGACAGACTCATAGACAGAGAGCAAGCTGACAGCTGAGGGAGGGGAAGATTGAGCAAAAAAGAGAATAAAACTAGAAAAAAAAAACAACTAAAAAAAAAACCCATACCAATGAATTGCACATTTCTCCACTTATATGATGCGTCGTAAGTACATGAAAGTTAACTATTTATTTTTTAAAATAATTCTTTGCTCTAAACAAAATTAAAAAGCAAATTTAAAATTCCATATACTTGCAATGCTTATAAAAAGTTAATATCATTATTGCATAGATTATTTAGAAAAAAGATGTATACCAATTTCACAAAAAGAGGACATGATGTGAATATGCAATGTACAGCAGACAAGATTCACATGGCTACAAACAGGAAAATTAAACTTTGCTATTTATTAAGTAAATAACAACCAAAACAACAATCTTTTGCCCAGTTAATAAAGATGAAAACTATATAATAGGTAGTGCTGAATTGGGGCACTTTCATATACTATCTGATTATGAAAGTAATGATTATTCTAACTATTCTGAGGTGTTTGTACTGTTTAGCCCCAAGTTACCATAAAGGTAGGGACAAATTCTAATCAATACAAATATTTATGATAAGTAAATGGTTAAATAATGTGCATGACCTTTAGGATTATACACTGTGCTGACATTTAAAGTTACATTTTTAAATAATATTTACTATCTTGAGAAATGTGCATAATACATTTAGTGAAATAAGCAAGTCTAGAAAGTATGTGTGTATGTGCACATACACATAATATGAAACTATCTTGAGGGTATATCCTAAAATAATAGAAGTATTTCAGTTTTCTCTGGTTTAGTATAATTATGGATGATTTTTTCCCCTGTATTTTTCTATGATCTATATTTTCTGAAGGGAACTTTATTATTTTGCTCATCATAACAAAACACTTTAAAAATAATTTTTAAATGCACTAAGGAGATATATAATTTATGAAATTTACAGTGAATCTTATAAAATTATTATTTTTATAATACAAACTTTTACTCCTCAGTGTATGTATTTTTATATTTTTTATGGTCAAAGTTTTATATATTTAAGGTTTTGTGTGTGTGTGTGTGTTTTTTTCTTAAACAGGGCACATTTGTACCTTAGTTGATTAAAATAAAAACATGTTTTTAGAAACAACTTGAAAGTCTTCCAGTTTCAATAAGAGCAATATTCTGAAATATTTATAATTTTTCATTCCTAATTTACAACTCTCAAGTGATTTACATATGTCTATTTCCTGTGTGCGTTAGATTATACCTCAGGAGAATGATACCCGCTCTAGCCTTACATATAAGTACATCATCCATGAAGACTCCGCACCTACAATCAACAACAACAATGTCATCCAGGAAGAATTAGACACTTTTGAGTGGGCTTTGAAGAGCTGGTCTCAGTGTTCCAAACCCTGTGGTGGAGGTAACAGTTGACACATTTATAACTTTACTAAGCAGTTCATATTAAGCCAGTCTGCTTGCTTCTGCCTTAAGGATTATCTCTAATGGAGGCCATCATCTGAGAATACCACACAGAGCCAAAAGATAAATACAAAGCATTTTTACCGAAATTTCAGAATCTACAAAGGGTAGGAATCCTTCATACATGTAGACCTTCTTCAAATCCTCTTTCCCTTTCCCTCGAGTCCTTTCAGTCTGTGTGATTTCAATAATCACTTTATTCTTCCCAGTCTCTCCCAAATTCAGTGTCCTCTGGTGCTCGCCTTCTGCACTTTTACTTTCCCTGCCTATGCATTTCTTTTCTATCAGTGTTAATAATAAAAGAGCTATTAGTTGTACTATGTACCAGGTACAGCTTTAAATGCTTTACGTATTAATGCATGAATACTCGCAGGCCTCTGTGAAGTCCCTTCTATTATTATGTCTGTTGTATTGATGGAGAAACCAAAGCACAGGGAAGATAAGTAATCCATAAGGTCGAACCCAAGAGGTCTGGCTTCTGATTACATGCTCTTACTACATTATGCTGCCTCTCTGCCCTCCCTAACGTGAACCCATTAAACTGTTCTCATGGGTTCTCTGATTCCCCCGTTTTCCATTCCTCTTGTTCTCAACAGCAGTGCTCCAGAATCGGGCTGGCCAAGAAAATTCTCCCCACAGGCAGGAGAAGGCCAGGACCTCTCACAATAATGACACTAACTGAAAACAAAAGATTATTAAACCATTGATTTTATCATTTTAAATTCAAGAATGCATTTCTAAAGTGTTTTTTGGGGGGCCGAGGGAGTAGGCATAAAGTGTTTTAGTTGCTTATGTAAAACAGCACTTTATTTATTATACAAAGTTTGTTTAATTTGGATCCTCCCTCCTTTTGCACCCTCCCCACTGACCTGGTCACAAGATTTGTCATATACACCTTTTTAACATCTACATCTATTCCTTCCTCACTGGGCTTCCTTCACAATTTTGGAAGGGAAGATTGTTGCACAAGTCTCTTAGTTGATTAACTTTTTATTTTCTTCCTTTATTTGCAGGGTAATCTTTCTTGAATGAATGAGTGAATGAATTAATGAATTAATGTGTAGAATTATATTATTTCCTTGTTTCAAATCCTTTAGTCTCCTAATGCGTTGCCCTGAAATACAATATAACTTATGTAGTATTCTTGCCAAAAGTGAATAACCTGAATCTGACCATTAGGAGACTATTAAATAAATCCAAATTGTGGGACATTTTACAAAACAGTTGGCGTGTACACCTCAAATATATTAAAGATAAAGAGTCTCAAAAACTGTTCCTGATTAATTCCATGACAACTGAATGTCCTTGACTGGAAAAACATTGCAACACAGAACATATAGGAACAATTGAAAATTTGGGGGTATGGACAATATATTCTATATATATAAAAAGCCATTGTCCGGAACTCCGTAATGACCAGAACAACCAGTCACTATGATTCCCACTGCTGCCAGCAAACTAGCCTAATCGGGGGGTGGTGCCAGCCAGCCAACCTCCCGTGGCCCCTCCCCTGGCCAGCCTCACCCCTGATCACCCCCCCACCCCAATAGGGGGCAGGGCCGGCCAGCCAACCTCCTGCAGCCCCCCCCTGGCTGGTTTCAAAAAACATTCTAGAATAAAAATGAAGGTAGTCTATCTGGGTTGGAGGGAAAAAAAGCCTTATCAATCTTTATCTGTATTGTATATTTAGATTTAATAAATACATTCCATTAATATGCTTGAAAAGAATGTGTATTTTGCAGTTTTGTACATACCAAGTATTATCTATACATATAAAGAGCCAACAACCGGAAGAACTGGTTGCTATGACACCCACTACGGCCAGCAAACCAGCCTGATCAGGGGGTGGAGCCAGCTGGCCAACGGCCTACAGCCCCTCCCCCCAGCCAGCTCCACCCCAAATTGGCCTCTGACACACCAATTGGAAGTGGGGCTGGCAGGCCAACCTCCCACAGCCCTTCCCCCGGCTGCTGACACGTGATCAGCCCCTCCACCCCAATCGAGGGCAGGACCCACCAGCCAATTGCCCATGACCTCTCCCCCCAGTCAGCCTGGCCCTGACTGGGCCCCCATCAGGGTGAGCCGGCTGGCCAACCTCCTGCCATCTCCTCCTCCTGACAAGCCCAGCCCCCATTCACCCCGATTGGGGCTGGACCAGCTGGACCCCACCTGTGCACGAATTCATACACTGTGCCTCTAGTCTATACTAATAAAAGGGTAATATGCTAATTAGACTGGACATCTTCCAGACATCCTTCCAGACAAAGCCACAGTGGGCGGGGGCCAAGACACAGGTGGTTAGGGGCAATTAGGCCAGCAGGGGAGGGCAGTTAGGGGCAATCAGACCAGCAGGGGAGGGCAGTTAGGGGCGATCAGGCCGGCATGGGGGAGCAGTTAAGGGGCAATCAGGCCAGCAGGCAGAGGCAGTTAGGGGCTATCAGGCAGCATACAGGCGAGTGGTTAGGAGCCAGCAGTCCCGGATTGCGAGAGGAATGTCCTGGATTGGAGAGGGTGCAGGCTGGGCTGAGGGAACCCCCCCCCCGCCATGCACAAATTTCATGTACCAAACTCTAGTCTATATATATATAAACCTAGGCGACTGTTACGACCGGTCACTATGACATGCACTGACCACCAGTGGGCAGATGCTTAATGCAGGAGCTGCCCCCTGGTGGTCAGTGTGCTCCCACAGCCAACCTTTTGCAGCCAGCCAACCTCCTACAGTCTTTTCCCCTAGCTGGCTGGCCCCAATTGGCCCCCATTGGGACTGGGCCAGATGGCCCCAATCAGCCACAATCACCTGCCAGGCCAAGGGACCCCATCCATGCATGAATTCATTCACTGGGCCTCTAGATTTATAATAATATGTCTGCATTAAATATCCTGATTTTAAGAATTATAGTGTGGCTATGTAAGAAACTGTGCTTACTCCCAAATGGTTCAGAAAAATTTTACATATGTGTTATATAGTAATTATATGTAAGCAAATATATGTATCTATCTCAAATACAGTGACATGGTAACACAAGGTTAATCTAGATGCAAGGTATAGAAATGTTTATTGTGCTTTCCTTACAACTTCCTTTAGGTTTAAATTTTCAAAATAAGAAATAATTATTTACAAATGTGGAAGTTGATGGTTGAAGAGACCTTTAATAACTCCCTGTGACCTTAAAAATAAACTCCAAACATTTGTCTGCCAGTCAAGGCTTTTACATGGAGCCTTTCCTATCTCCCACTCCCTTCACATGTGAAACTTCAGTCATTCAAAGAGACCTGCCGTGTTCTCTAGGTTATTTCCTTGGCTTGGAGCAGGGGTCCTCAAACTACGGCCCGCGGGCCACATGCAAATACAAATATTGTATTTGTTCCCATTTTGTTTTTTTACTTCAAAATAAGATATGTGCAGTGTGCATAGGAATTTGTTCATAGTTTTTTTTTTTAAACTATAGTCCGGCCCTCCAATGGTCTGAGGGACAGTGAACTGGCCCCCTGTTTAAAAAGTTTGAGGACCCCTGGCTTGGAGGAATATTCTGCTTTATCCCCTTTATGCAATACTATTTGAACTTGAAGATTCTACCCAAAGAAGTGCTGATCATGTAAGAAGGGTTCCCTCCCGTTTCCGAGCTAAGTTAGAGACTTTCCCCTCTGCGTTGCTTTGGTGCCCCCTACAGTACATTATGTACATAACTCTGTAAAAGCCTAGGTCACAGGGTTTTGTCACAGTGGTTTTCAAACTTGTCCGTAATAATGGAGTCTCTATATTCAGGGTTCAGTTTATTAGCAAATGTGCAGTTACTATTTAATAATTTGTAATATTTGTTAAATGTAGGCTCTGAAAAGAAGTTTTGTTTAATTTACTTCTGGACCTTCAGCAACTAGAAAAGTGGCTGGTTTATTGCATGCATTCAGTAAATGTTTGTTGAATGGATAAGTGATTAAATACCAAGAAATGTATCTCCTTTCCCAGGTTTCCAGTACACTAAATACGGATGCCGTAGGAAAAGTGACAATAAAATGGTTCATCGCAGCTTCTGTGAAGTCAACAAAAAGCCGAAACCTATTAGAAGAATGTGCAATATTCAAGAGTGTACACATCCACTGTAAGTATTTATTTTAACTGTCATACCCTGAGGACAAAATAGTATGGATTTAAATGTCTTTAGCTCTTTTCAATTTTGGTCAAAGCTAATACATGTATCTGGTTTAAATAGTCAAATCAATTCCCAGGAATTATGTGAAGCTGTGGTTCCCTGCTCTCTACCATATTCCTTCTTCTCAAAAATATATTTTTGTATTTGGTAAAAAATAAATACGTGTAGGCAGCTAGGGTCATCTCACCATTCCATATGTGGGTTTTCACATAACCCCATGTATTCACTATGGTTTCTTTCTCTGTTGTCCGTTCATTGTATCTGTTGTCCACGAGTTAAAAGTCTGATTTACCTTCTGCAGAAGACAAAAAAAAAAATCTTCTGCTGGGTTAGAGGAGGAGCAGTCACCCAGCGAAGTCAAAAATTAGGAGGCCTACCTGCCTCCCAGTAGACTTTCCATCAGTCCCTGTTTTCAGCCCTGCCATCACCCGCACTTTCACCTGAGGCTGTAAGCTCTCAGTTTCTGAAATTCTGCATCATCCGTTTCTTAGCTCCTACTGCTGACATAAACGTCATTCTTCTTATGTCTACTAACTACTCCCTAGGTTCCAAAATTACCTTTTGGCGGCTTCTTTTCAATTTTTTTTTCTTTTGGCCTTTGTGCTATTTTTCTCATTCGTCGTCATTCTAGGAGTTTCAAGATGGAATAAGGTAACCATAATTGTCTATGATAGGAAGTGTATGTTTCTCAAGTAATTCCTGTCTTCAGATGAGAGTCACTACTGAGGCCTTCAAAATGGGTTGCCAGAATACATTGTTCTGCCTACTTGACGAGCTAGAGCTATCTTAAACTGCTAATACCAAAGACTGAAAGGTTTTAGCGTGGTTGTATTTTGGAGCCCCGTATATATGGAAAAAATAAATAAATTGCAGAGGAAAAGTAACTTTAGAAAGGCTAAATAGTATGCCTCAATTACATTCTGACAGATTGATGAAGCAGATGGAATCGACAGTCATAGCCCTGGGGAACCTGGTAACCACATGTAATGGGGAACTGTCTGTAATATTGTACACACAGCTGATTTGGAGGGTACTGCGGGCATTGACATTGACACTAGAATTTGGAAATGTCCCATGGGAAATCTTTTTGAAAAGATTTTGGAAATATTTCTTTCAGGTGCATTCAAGCCTTGGATGGCCACTGCCTTTACATTTTTGTCAGACCCATTAAGGGCCAACATGAAGAACTGAATTTTCCAAACAGAATAGATATGTCAGGCAATCTTCATGGCAACGATTGTAGAAATAAAAGTCATCTCCGAAAATGAAAAATGAATAAATTCATGGAAAAAGCAGCAGCAGCTAAATAAATTTGTGTTAGCAAGCATAGGACAGACCCATTAAGGGCCAACATGAAGAACTGAATTTTCTAAACAGAATAGATATGTCAGGCAATCTTCATGGCAATGACTGTAGAAATAAAAGTCATCTCCAAAAATGAAAAATGAATAAACTCATGGTTTCATGGAAAAAGCAGCAGCAGCCAAATAAATTTGTGTTAGCAAGCATAGGGTGGATTCCTGTTTTTATAATTTCCTTTCAGATCTTTAACACCATTAGGCAGTGTGGCTGAGAGTGAGTTGGTATTATTTTGTAAACTGCCATCGTATCTAAACCTAACCAGGTATCCTCAAGATGAGTTTCAGAAACCTTCTGTTGGTCATGCTTTAGGAAAGGACAAAGTTTCAGAATCATTGGGAGGCAGAAAAATACTAAGCCATTCAAAAATAGAAGTGTCGGGCCTAACATTGTTAGAAAGTTCTAAGACTTTTTTTAATTGTTCAATGCACCCCTCTCTCTGAAAGTGCTTCCTGTACTACCGTGGGCCCCACTGGGTTGCACGTCACTCAGAGAGCAGGAGAGTCTAGGCTTGCAGGGCAGGGAGGTGTACATTCTACACCCCAGTGACCATGTTCACTTCACCCCCACACCCACAGCTGGATAGCGGAAGAGTGGGAGCATTGCACCAAAACCTGTGGGAGTTCCGGCTACCAGCTTCGCACCGTGCGCTGCCTTCAGCCCCTCCATGATGGCACCAACCGCTCTGTGCACAGCAAGTACTGTGTGGGTGACCGCCCCGAGAGCCGCCGGCCTTGTAACAGAGTGCCCTGCCCAGCCCAGTGGAAAACGGGGCCCTGGAGTGAGGTGGGTGTGTGAGTTCTGCATGCACGTGTATGTGCATAAGATAGGAAGCCTATTTTCATCTGGCTTCAATATCAGGCAGGCCTTGTGTGAATTGAGAAACTTGCATATTTTAAAATCATTAAGCACCTGGAGGTGTTTGAAAATTTAATATTTTAAAGCAGTGTTTGCATTTAAGTCTAGTTGGTTGAGTGAGGCAAACCATGTCTGGGTGTTTTGTGACGTAGAGGAGTCTAAAGGTGACTGATCTTCTGTTTAATATATTTGTTGACTTCACCATCCCTAAGGTTTAATTCCAAACCCCTGACACTGAATGCAGGTCCCTGCCCCATTTGGCATCACACTAACCTTTTTTTTTTAAATTGAGGTGTAATTAACACAACATTATATTAATTTCAGGCGTACAATGTAAGGATTCGATATCTGTATATATTGCAAAATGATCACCACAAGAAGTCCTATACTGACTCTTCTTATTTTTTCTTTATTCCAACTCTTTGACTCAGTTTGAGTAAAGTTCCCACTGTTCCAAGAAGACTGTTCTGGGTAGAGCGTCCTATCTGCCCATCTCCCTCTCATCTACCAACGCTCATCTCCATGGCACCTCAGGGGTGCTTTTCCCAAAGCCCTTCCTATGCACCCGAAGGCATGTTGTTCCTGGCGGACTACTTTAACTCCTGTCCTTGAGCCTGTGCTCACTACTAATCCACCCACTTCTCAAGAACCGTGTGCCCTGCTTCCCCGGTACCCAGCTAGTGCCTATGAAAATGATGTTGGTTTGGTGACTGGCTGACTCAATGTTGGGGTGCCTGAATTAATGTCTTTGATATTTGTAAAGGATCATCATGAGGAATCATAGGAAAAGAACTTATAGAAGGAAATGGCATCAAAAAGCAGGTAGAAAATGAAGGAGGAAGTGGAGAGCAGGCCCAGGAAGGAAGGACAGGCAAGTGAAGGTCACCCGGACAGACCATGAAGATAACTCATGTTCTTTGCCCCTCGGAGTCCTGGAATGAGGACCCCTTCTCTGTAGCTCCTGTCTAGAATAATAGATAGATGTTTCTGAGCATAGTTTTAGAAATGAATTTATGGGAATAGAGCAATGGTGGTTTCAAAGAGGTTGAATTAACCAAGGAAACATGTCAGGAAGTCCTACCATTTATAAGGAAGGTGAGAAAATGGGAAGCTCCCTGAAAACAGGCACCACTACTGTTTTACGAACTACATGAGCCCTAGCTGGTTTGGCTCAGTGGATAGAGCGTCGGCCTGCGAACTGAAAGGTCCCAGGTTCGATTCCGGTCAAGGGCACATGCCCTGGTTGTGGACTTGATCCCTAGTGGGGGACTTGCAGGAGGCAGCTGATCACTGATTCTCTCTCATCATTGATGTTTCTATCTCTCTCTCCCCTCCCTTCCTCTCTGAAATCAATAAAAATATATTTTTAAAAAAATAAGACCTACACGGATATTAACATTATAATGCTAATAGCTCTCTCTTAGCAAATGCTTATTACATGCGAGGCATAATCTTTACAAACCTTGTCTCCTTTGCCTTCATTTAGTTCCACAACAATCCTATGAGGCAATTATTAGTATCCTAGCTTTCAGAGAAAAAGCCAGGTGCCCAGGCTGGTCAATGATGGAGCCCCATAAACCTAGGATTATCTGTCTCCAAACCACTGTGTAGCACCACCTCCATAGAGAAGGAACTCCAGGGTGTGCGTGTGTGTATGTGTGAGAGCGGGGGGATAGGAAGAAAGGTGCAATAACCGTCTATAATGGCAGCCTTTGTCTCTGTAGTGCTCTGTGACCTGCGGTGAAGGGATGGAGGTGAGGCAGGTGCTCTGCAGGGCCAGTGACCACTGCGACGGGGACAAGCCCGAGGCCGCCAGAGCCTGTCAGCTGCCTCCCTGTAATGGTAGGTGCGACACTAACTGGTTTCACTGCTCTGACAATGGTTTTTAAGCACCAAAAAGCAGAATTTCCTTTCAGGACAAGCTCTAGAATTTCCATTTGCTTATCAGAAAATAACCAAAGGTAATTAATCTTAAAAAATTAGCCTAAAAAGAATTCCAGCCAGGGAATTGCCCTAACCACTGGGGTCAGGGCTGTGTCCCGTACATGTAGCATCTGTCAATATGTGTTTCTAGAAGAACTGCTTATTGTCTTCTGTGACTTTCTTTATAATCTCCTATCATTGTAAAAGCATAATATTGTGGAAGGTTTTGAAATGTTTTACTAAAGTTATTCAGTATAGACATGTGGGTGATAAATGCTATTTAAAAAGCTATTTCCAATATCTGTCCGTCTACCTCCATGCACTCCCTGAGGGTGAGTTCCGAATAGACACCTTACACATGCAGAAATCTGCCTGATCTCCTCTCTTGCTGGATTACAAAAGCAGAGTCAGTGTAATTTAAAAATAGACAGTGCTTTGCTGCTGCGAAACAGATAAAATATATATGGGATGGCTTCAGTTTCTGTCACTCTGTCTCCTTTTCTGTGCTGTCTCCGTCCTCTCTGCCTGTTCTGCTGCTTCCCTTCTCCCTGCACACACCTTCTCTTCTCAGCCTCTCTCTCCACCTCCCATCTCATTCTCAGGTCTTCCATACTCTCCTTTATCGCTCTCCCCCGACCCTTTCTCTACCACGTGTGCCTGTGCCTCTTCCCAGTCTCATACATTCTCTCCCTTCTGTCCTCTCCTTACCCTCCCTCCATCACAAACTTACTCTTAAACGCAATTCTACTAAGCCTGTGCCTAATACAACTGTGGACGCTGCTCAGACCTACTAGTGAGGCTTGGGACTAAAGAAGTTGCCTTTCTAATGGCCTGCGACAACATATATTGCTTGAATATTGACGTGTGCTAAATGGTTTATTTTTTCAAGAAAATTTGCAAAGCACTATTTTGTCAAATGTCTTATTATTTTTTTAAAGAAATTTCAGGCTTCAGGTCTTTTAAACCTTATAAATTATTTCATTATACATTTTCATTTGAAATGTGTAGTGGTATGAACAAGAATGACCATGAGGGGGAGACAAAGAACTTGAATTCAATCATTTTTCTCTGGAAAGTATATTTGAAAGTTCAAAACACAACATCAGATCCAGAGAAGACACTTTACTCAGAAGCTATAAAGTTTAGTTGCCCTAATATTTTATTTTTTATGTAGGCATTACCTCCAGGAGGCTAAACACTTTGTGAGTAAGCTTTGCTGATGTTAATAGAGCTATATATTTCTATAAATACGCCTAATTATCAGCAAGAATATACTTGATTCTCTTCCTTTTTAGCTAAAAGTAAATGTTTTTATTATAAAACCGAGGTGCTGATGGGAGGACATCACTATGTTATGTTAGTGATTCCACATCCTTTTAGCTTTTCTCTTGCTCTGAAATGTAGAATTCTAAAAGGCCACCTATTTCTACCATATATCAATGGAGTAAGTAATACTTCCCTTCAGAGTCTCAAGCTGCAATCAGAATCAAATGGCCTTTTGAGACCCTGTGTAAACGTTTTTTTCTGAGCTCCTTAGAATGATCTGGGCATGGAGTGAGAAGGCTAAAAATCTTCCTTAATTTTAACGATTTTGCCATATGAACCCTTTTCTAAGCCCCGTTTTTGATTGTACTATTTATGGCTGCCATTAAGCCCTTCCCATCTATCCCCAGGCAAATTACCCATGAAATTAATATATTCCTTTGCTTTTATTTTCCCCCTAGAATATCTCTGCCTTTTCCGTCTTCCATATAGAAGCATATTCTGGCCATAATTAGACCCAGGCTGTGTACCTGTCCCTGCAATGCCAAGCTGCTCACAGCACACTCCCTACTGGGTATGTGCCTGCAACCAAGGTACATGCCCTTGACTGGAATCAAACCTGGGACCCCTGAGTCCGCAGGCTGACGCTCTATCCACTGAGCCAAACTGGTTAGGGCTGGTCTCCATCTTTAACTCAAAGAGAATAGAGCGCTTTGAGCTGGGCCACATAATTTAGAAGGTTTCAAAGACTTGGAGCCAGAATGAGGGTGATGGAGGTCAGGAGTCAATGGGAAGAGAGAGTACAGGGTCAGATAAGGTCCATTATCCTAGGACCTAGAGGCTTAATTACACAGAAAGAAGAAATTATCTTCCTTATCCTATATAATAAAAGCCTAATATGCTAAGTGTCCGGTCATCCATTCAACCAATCAAAGCATAATATGCTAATGATATACTAAGGCTGCTCAACCGCTTGATATGACATACACTGACCACCAGGGACAGACGCGCCGACCAGTAAGTTATCTTGCTGCTGGGATCCAGCAGATTGGGACTGAGCAAGACAGACCGCACATGCCCTGGAGCCCTTCCACAGTTCCTCCCTGGCTGTTCAACCTTCCGCGTCCCTCCCTGATCATGCACCAGTGGGGTCCCTCAGCCTGGCCTGCACCCTCTCACAATCTGGGACCCCTCAGGGGATGTCGGAGAGCTGGTTTTGGCCTGCCACAGGCCACCAGGTCGAGGGACCCCACTAGTGCACAAATTTGTGCACTGGGCCTCTAATCCTATCTAATAAAGAGGGAATATGCTAACTGACCCTCACACTGTTGCAAAGATGGCATCACCCACAGCCAATAAGGAGGGAATATGCTAATGGACTACCCCACCCTCAAAGATGGCAGCACCCACAGCCAATAAGGAGGGAATATGCTAATTGCCTCGCCCTCAAAGATGGAGGCACCCACAGCCACAAGATGGTGGGGCCCAGTCCCCTTAGCCCTGCCAGGGTGGCAGGCATGTGGCCGCTTCGTGTGCCTGCCTCTGGAGACCCCCAGTCCCCTCAGCACCCCAGGCACCTAGGGCTGGCCCGAGGCGTAGGCAAGCCTCGGATGGCGGCTTCCCAGCTGCCCAGGGCTGCCTGAGGCTCAGGTAACCAGGGCCGGCCAAGGCTTACACTGCCGGCAGTGACAGCAGCAGAGGTGTGATGGGGCTTTGCCTTCCCCTGATCGCCGAGTCGCCTCCCGGCCCGAGGGCTCCAGGACTGTGAGAGGGGGCAGGCCAGGCTGAGTGACCCCCCCTCCAGTGCATGAATTTTCATACACCGGGCCTCTAGTTTTAAGATAATAGGCATAGAAAAAGTCATTTACATATGATGAGGAATTGATATTTGAGGTGAAACCTCATTAAGGTGATTCTCAGGCATTCACAACGTAATTAGAAGATTACTTTAGCTAATAGAAAATACTCAAACATCATACTATATGGTAGATTTGTAAATGTCAGGCAAATATAAGTCATTCCACAGTTTGGGACATGGACATGGTTCTGTAACTCTAGTAGGTAATTTATCATTTCTAATACATAATAAATAAAGGTGGTATTTTTAGCTCTCCTGTTGGCCTTGCCAACTGACCCTTTTTTTGTTCTTTTTCAAACTTCAGAAAAAGAGATTCTTTGACAAGTTATATGGCAGGTTCCTTACTTAACAATATAGTATTAGCCAACAATACATCTAATTAAAACATTATCTCAGTTTTTTCTTTGGTAATATATTTTTAAGATTTAATTTGTTTTAACAGGTCTTGAGAATATATTTTTATTTTAAATTTAATATAGAGGCTACTCTATATTATAAAATAAAATAAATCGGATGCTTCTTTATATCCTAAAAATATATGTGGTATAAGTAATCCTATTTTCTCATTAGAAAATCAGATATATGTTCCTAGTGAGAACAAAAAAAATACCCTTGCTCTGAAGACTCCTGATGGAGATATTAAAATGGAGGAAAACCCAAATGCTTTGCACATAAAGGACTACTTACTGCATTGAATTCATCCTCATGCTGATATCTGTAATGTAGAGGTTCCTTTGAACAACTCCCATCAAGGTCTGGTTTTACTTAAATCTTTTGTAAATTCATAAAAATTTGTACGTTTTGCAGATGAGCCATGTTTGGGAGATAAATCCATATTCTGTCAAATGGAGGTGCTGGCGCGGTACTGCTCCATCCCAGGTTATAACAAGTTGTGCTGTGAGTCCTGCAGCAAACGCAGCAGCACCCTGCCACCGCCCTTCCTTCCTGAAGCTGCTGAAACTCGTGATGAAGTTATCTTTAACCCCAGTGACCTCCCTGGATCCCTAGTGATGCCTACGTCTTTGGTTCCTTACTATTCAGAGACTCCTGCTGAGAGGAAGAAATCTTTGAGTAGGATCTCTTCAGCAGGAGGTCCAAATGCATATGCTACTCTCAGGCCAAACAGTAAACCCGATGGTGCTAACTTACCCCAGAGGAGAGCTCAGCGAGCAGGAAGTAAGACTGTGGGGCAGGTCTCCCCTGCCACCAGGAGTGGACACCTCACTTCATCCTCACAAACAGCTGCTGCCCCCTTCCTTGCAGTCCATGATTCAACAGGTGCTTCTTCTCAGGCAAGAACCTCAAAGAAAGAGGAAAAGATTAATGACAACAGACATCCGCTAAGATCGCCCACCTTGGAAAGATGAAAAGGTGAACCTAAAAAGGCTAGAAATCAGAGGAAAGCCTGGCCAAGCTCCCTCTCCCAGTGGTGCATACAGCTTGTTGAAAGTGGTCATCTCCATACATTGTCAACTCATTTTACCTGTAAATGGAAGAGCAAAAGTGCTGGTTCACTTTCTAGTTGCTTTCCTCCTTTTTTTGTTCTGCATTGACTCATTACCAGAATTCATTGGAAGAAGGCACCAAAGAATATTAACAGAAGGAAAGTGGCTAAGTGTATTGGTCACTCTCTACAGCAGAAAAGGGACTGGAGCCATTTGTGCATATCAGCTGATTTTTTTTTGTTTTAAAAAAGTTATAGTAAAAAGGAGGTGCCAACGGTTTACACCTTAACAAAATATTTTGGAAATGGAGCAAAGAATTTGTAGACTTGTATTTCTATTTATCTATATTAGAAATATTGTATGAGCAAATTTGCAGCTGTTGTGTAAATACTGTATATTGCAGAAAGCAGTATTATTTTAAGAGATGTGTTCTCAAATGATTGTTTACTATATTACATTTCTGGATGTTCTAGGTGCTTATCATTGAGTATTGCCTATATGACATTTTTTGGGCTGATATTCAAAGCAGAATGTTACAAAGAAGAAGTTAGAATTGTAGCTACTGACAATACCAAGGGTTTTATTTAATCAACGGTGTGATGCTTAAGTTACAGAAAAAAACAGGTAAGCTGCAGATATACAGATTTCAGCTTATCTGTTACTTTCCATCCTTTAATAAAAAGGAATGGACTGTGGTCACAGGGAACAGAGACCAGTCAATGAACCTGTGCAAGAAAAAAATGGAAACGTCTTACCAGGACCTCAATAGGCACCACTGAAGTGTCCTATGTTTTTAAGTTGTTTTTTTTATTTTCCCATTGTTGACACATCCAAGAAAAAGCATACTCAATGTACTGTAATAATAACAAAGGAATATGTATTGAGATAATTTGTATGTTGGTAGCTGAACTAGAATTTATACTCAAGTATAGTAGGGCTTTGGAAGCAGGTTCTAAAAAGCATTTGTCAATGGTTGCAATATTTATTTTCTGCATGGTTCACACACCCAAATGTTCACAACCACAATGCATCTGACTGCAATAATGTGCTAGTAATTTATGCCAGTGGTCACCTTACTCACAGTGAAGCCAGAAATGCTCTCTCCAGGGAGTAGATGTAAAGTACTTGTATATAGAATTCAGAACTGAAGATATTTATTAAAAGTTGATTTTTTCCTTGATAGTATTTTTATGTACTAAATATTTACGCTAATATCAATGACATATTTTGGCAAACTAGAGAGACATAATTAGAGATGCATGCTTTGTGCTGTGCCTACAGGAGAAACTTAAGCAAACAACAACAGCCAAATCAAAGAGCTAAAGCTGAACAAATTTGATGTGATGCAACCATTTGCATCTTTAAAGTAGTTGAAATGAAGTTGATTTGTTCCCCTTCAATGAAACAAAATATATGGACTTAGCTTTTTTTGAAATAGTGAATTAGAAACATTTTTTTTAAAAGTATGTGAAAGAGATATGCACTTCATGAATTATACTTCAAAGAATAAAGAAATATGCATGTCACCATAATGGTTTCGAGGTCAGTTTCTGAACTGTTTAAATGTATTATGCATGCTAACATGAAGACATGTTAACCTTCAAAGCACAGGATGTACAAGGACTTTTGCATTTGAACCATGATAAACTAACAGCTTCACCTATTGACTCTATACCTCCAAGGAATCGCTGCTACTTTGTGCAAGACTTTTGAAAGTCAAATGAGTTAGGTGAATTCCAGATCATAAAATAATCCCGAGCCTCAAGTAAAGGTCATTCCCCACCCCCCAAAATGAATTCTCTCTAGTTTGCTTGCATGTGTATACATCTGGTCCATAGGAGAGTTTAAAGATGGTCACACACATACACCTCCCATAAAGATGTACACATTCGTTATACTTCTGATCTTCAAGCTTCTTTTTCTACTAAGCTAAACATTCTTTTTTTTTTTATCAAAGTGTACACTACTGATGCTGTTTGTTGTATTGGGAGCACGTAGCAATAAAAATGTTAATAAAATATAGATCTGGCTCCATTGAGGTTTTTATCATTGGATTCATCACTGAGTAATGAAAAAGTTCTCTTTCCACCTACAAAGTGAAATAGCATCAAATCCATCTGCTATTGGACTTTCTCTAAACTGTTCAAATGGAGTGACAGTGTCTCCTAGTCTCACGTCAGGGTGTATCATAATATACTTTAAAAATAAAAATTTAAAAAACAAGATTTTATGGGGTGTGGCTTAAGTTCATTCCACAGAATTATGAAGAAGCAGAGAGAAAATGATGAATATATATAAAAGGGAGGAAGACTGTTAAAATGCTGCCCACCAGCTTTGAACCTTGATTGCCTGAGGATTGGTGGGAACCCATCACCCATGACTCTGAAGTATGGGGAGGAACGGAACATCACATTGGAGGGCCTTCCGGGAGTCACCACCTATAACTTCATACGTAAATGAGTTTAGGTAACCTGGCTAGGTTTCCTTGCCTGTAAAATGGGAGACAGAACTTGAAACACCATTGTGTGAGGACTGTGAGAAATGACATATAGCTGCTAGCATATAGTAACTCACAATTACTAGTGTCATTATCCTTATATCATCCCCAGCCTCCTCCTCATCTTCACTGTGTGACCAAACCACAGCTTTCCTCTAGGGTCCATGGCTAGTTTGAATCACAGTCACTGGGCCTATTGATCGTGGTAAAGAATGAAGTTTAAGGAATCTAAGGACAAAAAAAAAAATGTAGCTTTAAAAATTGGTGGGAAAGATTAATTCATTAAAAATGCTCTTCAGTCATTGATTTTTGAAGATTTGTAGCTATTTATGCTCACTCTGCTTTTGCCAACATTAAATAGTCAAACTAAGGAATAACCATTAATTGTATGTTTCTATAAAGGTGGCCATGGGTGCAATAATTCCCAAATTATTAGCAAAACAATGTTTTTCATATATTTACATTAATCACTTGGCAGAAATATTAACAAGTCATTCCTTTATACCTATTTTGTATTTTCTTCATGAAGAGGCTGCTTAAATATACTAGTAAGATTTTAAGAACTGAAAAATGATGGAAACATAGATAAGGTATAACAGATATCATTTGTTTAAAAGAAGTACTAAATGAAAAATAAAAAGTAAGCAGTTGAAGTAAAACTGCTTGAAATGCAGTAAAATATAAAAGCCAACCTGGGGTGCACAGGCATTATAACACATCAACTACTATTAGAAAACAGTCATCTGGGGCCCAGACGCTTCTGCATAAATCACTTAGAGCTAGAGATAAAAATTAAAGAATTAAAGCAAAACATAATCTACTGAAATAAATTTATCAAAAACATAACTTTTAAGACAAAACAAAGTGCTATAAATTTCTGCAAAATCAGAATTACCACCTTATTTCTTTCCCCCATCCTGATGTATAAAAGTCACTTGTCACTTGTCTACTTTGTTGGGACGCTAATGTTATTGCACTGACACTGTTGATTGGAAAGGTTGCTCTTTTCCAGCCATTCATACTTTCAAACAAATTATTAATTTGACCAGTTAATTTTCAACCATTTTATTTTACAATTTTTATTGTTATTTTAAAATTCTCACCCAAAGATATCACTCCCCACCCCCCTATGATCTTTAGAGAGTGGAAGGGAGGGGCGAGGGGGAGGGAGGGAATGAGAGAGACACATCTACTGGTTGCCTCCCACATGTGACCCTACAGGGGCTGGGGAATCAAACCTGCAACTGAGGTATGAGCCCTTGACCAGGAAATGAACCTGCGACCCTTCAATCCACAGGCCAATGCTCTAATGACTGAGAAAACTGACCAGGCTCAACCATTTGCTTTTTAACAATTCACTGGGGTTTGAGTAGTGATTATATATATATGATCCAGACTATATATATAATCAGAAACCCCAAATTCCTCTGATATCAAGAACAAAATGATTATTCACAGCCAAGTGTTATTCTTACTCAGATCACAAGTGTTAATATCCTTCCCTGTAAGATCATTCCAAAAGCTTCAACCAGAATATCAAAGCTCTTATACAATCCACTAATAAACAGGTGATGCTAAACTTAGAAATATATACACAAAAAGAACACTTCTTTTCAAATTAGCTGTTTGGAGATTTACATGGAGAGACTCTCACTAGTAGTTCAAGAGTGAAAATAAACATCTCTCTGGTCAAACATAAACGGAGAGTGGGTCTGCTTTCTGTTTCATGCCAAAGAGGTAAAACTTCTAAAGGTCATAATAAGAAGTAAGTGTCCTGTTGAGGGTGTGGGCACCAACATCAAACTGCTGGTTCTATAATAGCCAACTAATTGCAATGTGTGAATTATTTAATGTGTCTAAGCCTTAGTCTTTTCACCTATAAAATGAAGATGACAGTGATCCATACTTCATGGGGCTGTTTGAGCATGAAACTAGATAATCCAAGGAAAGTGATAAACATGGCCTGACAGGCATTGATTATGCTCAATAAAGGTATGCAATTACTTTCTCTCTTTATGGATGACTGACAGACCCCAAAAGATTCAATTTGTTTTTTATTCTTTTGTTGACATGGTGTCAGTAGAGTTACTTTTTATTGTAAATTCTATATATTTTTTTATTAAATTTATTGGGGTTACATTGGTTAATAACATTACATAGCTTTCAAGTATACAATTCTATGATACATTACCTGTATATTGATTTTTTTTAATCAAGGTCACAATTTTCAAAAAGTCCCACATGCCCAAAAGAAGTTGAAACAATATCCAAAGAGAAAATTGTATGAACTAGGCATAGACTATAGAAAGTTGTCCATTCATAATGGACAACCTGGCGAATGACTCCAGAGGTCAAGGGAACTGCACTTTCTGCAGTGGCATCCTGCACCACAAGATATTGTCCACAGGCTTCCTGCCACCAAATCCTCTTAATGAGGGACACACTTTCTCAGGGGTCCAAGGGATGGGCTCTGACTACCACATGACCAGGGAAGAAGGCTTCTCATATGACCTTTAATTATAATTGAAGGCCGTTATCCTCAGATCAGCAAGTATCGATGAGATCATCATAAAGAAGTGAGTAGAAGTGTGAACTTTGAGAGAAAAATCTGAAGGCCTATTAGTAAAGCATATTGCACTTCACACTGAGCCTATTGCAACCCTACACACTACACAGGAATGTGTTCTGCTATATTCATAGGGCATCTTGTTTGTGTATCCTGGGGTGAGTCCCATTTCTCTACTCTAATTTTCAGAAGACCTGTCTAAATGATGTGCTGTATTATTCTGGTTTCTCTGTTGGATTTCTCTTCTACTTTTAATATCTCATATGTTGCCTGGTGCTTAAAGGCAGCAACACAGCCTCTGGCTGAATGCTTTCATAGCTATAATGTCCTCAACATGGAGTTCAAATTGTCAGAAGCAGCATGCCCTGATGCCATCTGCTTTTGCTTTGGATTTTTATGGTGGTTAGAACTCTTAGTTTTTTGTTTGTTTGTGGGTGTTGTTTTGTTTGTTTGTTTTTTGTTTTGTTTTTTGCCACATTGCTAATTCTATAGTTTTCCTTGGTGGTTAGAACTCTTAGTTTTTTGTTTGTTTGTGGGTATTTTTTTGTTTGTTTT